ACTTATTTTTGCCTGGTCTCAAAGAAGTCTAGCTTGCAGACCTATTTAATAACGAAAGAACAAGGACGTTGAGGACATCCTCCAGTTAAGAATAATTTGGTAGGTGCCTCTTTCACTAAACTCTAAGCTTCTTAAGTACAGTGCTTTTCCTCTGTAGTGCTCTAAACCATGAAGTCAGTTTGCATCAAAATAGATTTTCAAGATGATGCAACATCCCCAATACACCACGTCTAACACGTGAATTAGTACTGTCACAATGAAAGAGTGATGACAAGTTTATTGCAACATCCAACCAGCACTTGAATAGCTGTAGTATTAGGATTTTGTTTTATTTTCGTTTTTTTTTTTTTTTTTTTTTTTTTTGTGACAGGGTTTCTCTGTGTGGCCTGGCTGTCCTAGACTCACTTTGTAGATCAATCAGGTTGACTTCGAACTCACTGAGATCTGCCTGCCTCTGCCTCCCACGTGCTAAAATTAAAGGTGTGTGCCACCATGCCTGGCTAGTATTAGGAGTTTTAACGGAAGTTGGAGTGGATATTTTTATTGCTTCTCAGAATTCAGAGGCCTTTTCTATGTTTGGTGAACCCACTATCATATGAGGAAGAATGCACCATCTGTTATGTAAAATGAAAATGACAGACACAAAAGATCCCACAAACCTTTGACATGTAGGACATGTATGTGGACTTGAATCTGATTTGGGAGAACTGTACTTAGAACTATGAAAGAGTTCATGTTCATCTACGAAGCTATCTAAAACTGATGTCACTTGTGACTTCTAGTGTCTAGTGATGGTACTGGCTGCACTCTATCCAGGGCATTCCTAACCAATGACTTAACTAGTCAAAAAAGACAAAAATCGTTCCAATTTTAGTATATGTGCTGCCGAAGTGAGCATTATAGAAGGGGAGGAGGACCTCCCCTATCAGTGGACTTGGAGAGGGGCATGGGAGGAGGTAGGGGAGGGAGGGTGGGATTAGGAGGGATTGAGGGAGGGGGCTACAGCTGGGATATAAAGTGAATAAACTGTAATTAATATAAAAAATAAAAATTAAATTAAAAAAGACAAAAATCACAGCAAATTTATTTTAACAATCATAGCTGACTTTTATTTATGATGCTACAAAAAAGCAACCCTCAGAATCAAAGAAATTCAATTAACTCCTTCTAACAACAAGATCAGACAGTATTTGTGGACAGGAAACAATTAAGAAATAGAGACAGCTTAACTGGGTCCCCGATCAGCATTCACCTGAGTTGAAGCATCTGGCCACTGAAGATGGCTTTGAAGCTCAGCTATTCGTGTGCCAGTTCGCACAAGTGATTACATGGTACTTTTGTGTAGTGGGTCAGTGTAGACTACTCCAAATCAGTGTTCTCCTATGAACTTCATTTAACAATTACAAGATGAGTGGCTTTTGAGACTTTGTGAGCACAGTCTTCTCCTCCTTGAATTCATTTTCCTTAGCTCTGTCATCTTTAAAGGCCCTGCTTTGTGTCAGTGGTTTGTAATTTTTTTAAAAAATTAATATCCACACAAAATATACTGTTTCTTTCACACAGCTCCTTCTATGTAGGGGCATATATCATTCATATATATATGAATTTCTGTAAGTATAAAATACATGTAATTAATATAGCTATGTTGTGAGCAACTCCTCCATTGTACATTTTATCACATCTTTCTGTCTACCTCACTGTGGCCACTTGATCCTTTACATGAGAGATAATATATGATTTACCTTCCCTTGAATCAAAGAACAAAACAAGGCACTCATAAAGATTTCAGTTACCAGTTGCAACTAACATGGCTGGCCAAGGCAAAAGGTTATCTTCCTGACTCATGAGTTGAGGAATTTTAAAATGATGGAAGAAATAAAATTTGCTTATTTGAGAACTCACTGATGATTATATCTCCTTGAAGGATCACTGTTGCTCATCTCAAAAACCAGTTCAAGCCTTTAAAATCTGGTCTAGCTGTATCAGAAATACAGGCCTACAAGTGGAGATGAAGGCAGAAAGTCAAGGAGTATGGCACATCAAGATATTAAAACTTGGAGGCATTCAACTCTGCCAAATGCAGGAAGAGGGGAAAATAATATTAACTACTGGACACTGAAGGGTAGAAGTCACTGGGGGTGCTGGTGCACAGTGCATGTTTGGCCTGCATTAAACACGCACACACACACACACACACACACACACTGGTGACTTGTGTAGAGACAATTCACTGTACTGGTTTAAGACCAGACCACAGGTGGAGTACAAAAATATTAAAAGAAACAGGAGAGTTCCAGGACAGCCAGAGAGGGTTACATGAAGCCCTTGTCTCAAAAATCTAAACAACAACAACAATAATAATACAGAAATTGAATAGTGAAAACTTTTTCAGTCGTCACATAAAGAAAAACAAACAAAAATGGGGATGCGGTTAACTGGGGTCGGGAAGTTTTCGATTAACTTCTGCAACTTCATCATCTTCATCTACTGATGGGGAAGATTCAACACAGAAAAACATGGTAAAAAAAAAAAACATACAGTCAAGTCCTTAGATAAACAAGATGCCACGTGCCATTTACCAGAACTCTCCAGATTTCCAAATTCTTAACTTTTAAAAGAAATAAGCACATTTATAAGACACTTCTATTTAAACACGCCCGCGATCGCTCTGTACTGCAGAACCAGCTGGCGTTCCAGCTGTCCTCTCACTTTGACAGGTCACATTTCTTTGCGGGGAGACTCTGAGTGCCTCGGTAAGATGAAAGACGCCGTGACTTGGAAGGGTCGTCGGCGGGCCTAACTGGGAGGATCCATGTGGAATGTGGCACTGGGCTGGCTCGGGTGAAACTCAACGCCTTAGCTACCAGAGGCCACAGCACGCAGGCCCGTGTGGGGCTGGCTTCACCTTCTGGTCCGGCGACACGGTCCCCTACAATGGCGCTGCTAAAGACGACGCCAAATAAATGAAACTCAGAAACACGGTTCACTGTAAGCAGACAGTTAGAAACACTGACGCGCAGAAAAACCTAAAAGTCCCGGGTGCGCCGCCTGCGCCTGCGCAGTCGCTGCAAGACGCCCATCTTGTGTGTGGCGGAGGCTCGGATTGGGCAACACATCTCGTGAGAAATGCGAGTTCTCGCGAGGACGGTATTCAAAAACTCCGGCGCTTACTTAGCAGCCGTTCAGCCGAATGACTAGGATGGGTTTTCTGTGCTGAGTTGGATTTAGTGTCACGAGTTTGGGCGCCCGGTGATCTCTGGACTGTCCTCCGGTTGCAGCAGCCTTCTCTGCAGAAGTGTGGGGAGAGAGGTAAGTGCGGGCGGCGGGAGGGAAGAACTGGGCGTCCGCAGGCGGAACTCCTGCTTTCCCGGAACCTGAGTTCTCAGTAGCCGCCTCCCGGGTCGGTGCTGTCTTCGGTCGGACCGCCTAGCTGCCCTTTTGGCTGCTAGTAAATACGGCACTGTGCGGTCTTGATTCCCAGTTCAGTGACCTTCGAATATGAGTTCTCCAGTTTCGTAACTCCTAGCCTGCATCAACTGTTGCATATGTGTAATACACACACAGAGGATTCTCTTTTTTTTTTTTTTTTTTTTTTTGAGGATTCTCTTTGTAGCATCTGGTTTTAAGTATTCTTTACAATGATTAGGGATTGCAGTCCCTAACATTTTGGATGCATTGGGTTAAATGTTTTCAAATGTACTTACTTTTGAAAATGTGGCCCCCAGAAAGTTTAAAATCCCATTTGGCTTCCGCGGTATTTCTATTGACACATAGTATTCATGTGTTATCAGCTTTAATATTCTCAATCTAGTTAGAGGCGCTTTTTTCCCCCTATTTCTTATATAATATGTAAACTAGGTAAAACAAGATGTTTACAAAATGTTTTCACAGCCAAGCATTCGTGCCACACGCCTTTAATCCCAGAAATAGGGAGGCAGAGGCAGGCGGATCTCTGTAAGTTCCAGGCCAGCCTAGTCTACGGAGCGAGTTCCGGGACAGATAGGGCTACACGGACAAAATGTGTTTCGAAAAATCAAAACAAACAAACAAATAAAAACCTTTTTCGCAATGATGTAGCCAGTCAGTAGTGGAAGTGGTCTAGAACTCAGATAGCTTATCCACAGACCTTTTTGTCATTTCAATGCTTTATGCAGGTTGTGGTTTTCAGAGGTTGGACTGAAATGTGATTAGAACATCAGGCTTTGGAGTTGTACTCTTGACTTTATGTCATTTAGCCCATCCTTGCATTGCCTACCATTCTCTCTCAAACCTTTCAGCTCACCTCTCCACCAGAACACCTTGGCCAGTGACCTGAAAATTAAAATCCAATGGGCAATTTCCAAGTTCTCACCTAATTTGACTTAACACCATTTGCCATGACTGTTCATTCCCACCTCCTGAAGGAATTTTGCCTTTACTTAATTACTTAATGGGTCATTCCTGAGAGTACTTTGTGGCCTTCCTTCATGACAGCATTCAGTTCTGAGTCTTGTCAGAAATGATGCTCATCTTCTAGTGATAAGAAATCTTAATGTTGGCAGTATCCAAATTTGTATTTTCAGCCCAGACCCCTCTCCATCTTACATATTCAACTGCTGAAACATGTCATATTCAAAATATAAATTCTTTCTCCCCATAACATTCTTTCCATCTGTGTGTCAAGCGAGGGTAACCTCATTCTATTAATTGCTCATGCCAGAAGCCTTATATTTGTTTCTTACATTTTTCTACATTCTAGAATCCACCTGGCAGAAAACTGTGTTGACTTTCTCTTCACAGGTTTTGTAGAGTTTGGCCATTTCTCACTGCCTACTGTGCTATTGCTGATGAGAGGCATTGTCTAACAATTTAGGAATAAAATTCTAATATCTCTTTGTTTTTTATGACAGTAGTGTTGACTATATGGTTTTTTTTCTCTTGCTCTGATGTCACTACGTTTAGTTCCAAGTTCAGCTTGAGCAGTTGTCTTTTCTCTTTACAGTAGGCTGCAAATAGAAAATATGGAGGCAGAGATCTTAGATCTTCGAAACAAGCTCAAAGAGTGTGAAAACGAGCGACTGAAAGCGGCACAGTATGGCTTACAGCTGCTGGAGAGGCAAACTGAATTGCAGAAAGAATTGGATAAATATCATGAAGAAATGATCACCACAACTGAGGTAGGATCCAGTACACCTGTTTACAAGGATGTGCTTAGGAACTAAAAACTTGTTTTGTTTGGCAACTGTTCATTCTTTTTTGAAGACCTAAACTTATCCACCCTAGCTGCATTGAAAAAGGGAATGACCTAAATGAATTTCCAGTGTTCTTTCCAATAGTGAGCTCTGAGTTTGAAAAGTCAAGCAATGCTTTCTCTCTTTGCTACATTTACTGACGGGTTTTGTTTAGTCCGTGCTCAACTTATGTGACCTCACCCCTTTTATAGTTCTAAAGTATCTAAATGCTCCATGGCATCTCACCAAACCTTTGGTTCTCCCCGAAGGCTAAATTAGTGTATTCAGGTACCTGTCATTAATGGACATCAAGCTTGACACAAAAAGAACAGCTCATTCCCTGGTAACTGGATGTTCACTTGCTTTGCTAAGTGATTGACATTCATCCAGTTGCTTGAGCCTGGAGTCAAGGAGTCCCATATTTTATTTATCAATAAATCTAAGGACTTGACTTACATCTTAGTTAGGTTTCTATTGCTGTGTTGAAACACTATGACTGCAAGCAGCTTGGGAGGAAAGGGTTTATTTCATCTAGAGAAATCAGAATAGGAGCCTAGAGGCAGGAATTAATGCAGAGGCCATGGAGAAATGCTGCCTACTGGCTTGGCCAGCCTGTTTTCTGATACTATCCAGGCCCTCATGCCCAGGGGTGGCATAACCCCTGAGCTGGGACCACTTGCATCAATCATTAATGAAGAAAATGCCTTATGGACTTAACCTACAGGTCAGTCTTACAGAGGCATTTTCTCAGTTAAGATTTCCTCTTCCCACATTTGTCTTGGTTTGTGTTAACTTGTCAAACAAACAAACAAAAATGAGCACAACCAAAACATCTGCCTGAGATTCTGCTATTCTAGCCTAGACCACGGCTGTCTTTCCACTGGAGTAAAGACGATTGGGATCTTCACTACTGTAGCCTTCTAACTGGTTACCAGCTTCCATCACTACCCTTCACACCATTCATGCTTCACACATCCAAGTGGTCATAAGAAGATATACAAGAGGTATCCTTTCTTTCCTTCTAAAAGCCATACAGGGATTTCTGTTATATTTTCAACAGAATCTGAGCTCTTTACTTGAATTTGTATATCCTTCTGTTTTGACCTCTGCCTAACTTATCACCACATTTCAACCACTTTCTTTTTTTCTTACCTATACTGGCTTTATACTAGATGTTTCTTCTTCTGGAGTTATTCAGCCCCAATCTTCTTGATTCTGTCCTCAGCCATAGACTTTCAGTTAAATGTCATGTCAGCATAATGACTGACACTGACTGTATAATGTAAAGTTGTGAAAATTTGCTCTTGGTTCTCTCTAGTGCTAATTATCCTCAGAGTTGCAAGCTGCATGAGAAGAAATTTTGTTTATTCTTATTCATTCATATACCCCTGTTGCCTGGCATACAATTATTTGTAAAATGACTAAATCTGTTTAATACTAAATGCTCATTATTTTATAATTAAATCACAGAATTACAAATATAACAGGTAATTTTTCCAAGTACTACTGTTCCAAGTACTAATTTGGCATTGAGCACTCAATGCCAAATTAAAAAAAAAAAGATCATATATCTTAGAATGTAAATAAAGTCTTGCTTGTTTTGAAAATAACCTCACCAAATTGAGGTTTCTTTTAAAATAGAAGAGCTTTGGGGGAAATGATGAAAAGAATTCCAGCCCTTTTTTCTGACTTTAATTGATTTTTTAATCCTATTTTTTGTTTTATTTTAATGTTTTTACTTATTCTTTAAAAAATTTTATACAAAATGTTTTTTCCCACCCACCCCCACCTCTTCCCAGATTCTCTATACTTCCCTACCCAACTTCTTATTTTTTTCTTTCTCTTTAAAACACACAAACAAACAAAAACCATGGAGTCCAATTTCTGTTGGCTGACAACTCCTGGGAATGGATTATATCTTGGAATGTGGTTGATTCACCCAGTGTTACTCCGTTGAGGAAAACTGATTCTTCTCCCATCAGCTTTCAATTGCAAATAGCTTCCTGGTTAGGGATGGTACATTGTACCCATTTCCCTTCCCCTGTGCTGAAATTTTGTTTGGCTGGAGTTTTTGAATGTCTTATATGTGCTGTCATAGTTTCTGTGAGTTCATATGTACACCTGCCATGTTATATCAGGAAAATGTTTCCTTGATGTTTATCTGGAAAATGTTTATTCTTGATGTTTCCTTGATGTTAGGAGCCTCTGGCTTCTAAAGTCTTTCTGCCCCCTCTTCCAAATGGATCTCTGTATATTGAGAAGAAGGCTGTGATGTAAGATAGCCGATTTAGGGATGAGCATTCCAGAGTCTCTTGTTCCCTGCCCACTGTAAGTTTCTGTGTTAATTACCATTTACTATAAGAACGTCTCTGATGAGAGTTGAGTGATATGCAGAACTATAGATATAGCAGTATGTTAGTGGAGTTTTATTGCTGTGCTCATTTAGCAGAATAATTATTATAGCTTTTTCCCTAGCTCATGACCTATCTAGCCTCAAGTTCTTGGTCTTCTTGACAGTGTCAGGCATGGGTTTCATCTTGTAGAAGGGGATGGTGGTGTTCAAATCTAAGTAAAAAGGTGCACGATTATTCTCTTAACATTCAAGCCACTATTGTGCCAGTAGGCCTACCTTGCAGTCAGGTCATTAAATTGTGGCTCACAGAGTTTGTAGCTGGGTAAAACTGATCAATACTTTTCTCTTCTAGTATTGTGCATAGCACTTTGGACACTGGTCAGTAGGGTGAAGCTTCTAGCTAAGCACAGCTAGATTTTTCCATGTTGGTGACTTTAGTAATAAGCTCTTAAAGTTGTAGAAGGCAACCAATTGGCAGTAGGATTGGCAGTAGTTATAATGTTGCTGGGGTGGGGGGAGGTGTCTATGGGATCCTATTGGTCAACAACTCAAAAACACATCTCTGGTTTGGGCATTATACTGACCCAGAATTATATGGTAACATTATTTAACCCCCTTTTTATAAATGTATACATTTTAGGAAACTTTTACAAGAATTTTTTTCAAAAGACTTTCAGTGTTATTGTCAGTCCCCATAATCCCTCTTCTAGCCTGTTTTATCCCATTAAAAACAAACAAAAACATTTCGTAGAAATTGGAATACTTTTTTTACCGTAGCATGTTTTCATTCTGTAGTTACTTTGTAAATGTAATAATACTCTGAAAGTAAAGGTTGATTCAGTATTTTTCCTTTTTACCCATTTCACTGTTTTTCAAAGTATTATACAAAGAAAGAGCATTTCATTGACGAAAGCGGTGATTACCAGGAATATTTGAATGATAATAAAGCATCCTTGTTTCATTTTCTTTCCATAGGAATTGATAGACTATCATGTTGTGGGTTTTTTTAATCCCTCCTAGATAGTGAACTGGAGCAATTGCTATACCTCCTGCATGGGCTTTAACATGCTTCCCCCGTCTGTTGTTGTGCATATGGAATATATGGACAATTTTATATATAAATAATTTATAAATCTGTAATGGGGGCATCTTGCCTGGGACATGCGTCGCTGTCCAGGGTACTTGAAGCAGCTGGCACTCCTCTTGATGTCTTGTATGGTCGTTGGTCATCTGACACTGTCAAAATGCCTTATGCACACCACACTTCATTTTGTCACATGGATATTATGCTATCTAGCATCATAAGAATAGTGACTATAATACACTAAGATTTTGAGAGAAAAATGACACATAACTTTCTAAACTGCTCATTGTATTATTATTCATTAATCTCTTACTGTATCAAATTTAAAATTAAATTTTGTCAGGATAAATATTACATATTGGAGGTGGGTAAACATGGTTTATGTGGGGTTTGGTACTATTTGAGGATCCAGCCATCAGGCCGGGGTTCTGGAAACATCCCCTGCAGATAAGATGCAAATGACATCCAATGCTGTGCTGAAGCTCGGGTGCCTGACACAATATGATCTGTTGAACATGCTTCCCTTATATTCTGTGCAGCAGAGCATCTGGCATGTGCATTTTCTCTTACTTTGAGAATCTGTTCATACATCATATCCCTTAGAAAGCCTCCTCTTAGCCTGCCCTTGTCCTCAGTAGCAATCACTGTGGCTTAGTGTTGCTAAGTGTTTGTTCTAGACTGATCTTGAAGTTAGGCACCATGTTTTATCTATTACTGGGTTTGTTACCTTTCACATTTGCTACCTTTTGAGTTTGCATAGAATGGATTGTTGGGAAGGAGGGCTCAATGTCTTTCTGGAACCTGGGTCCTACGTCCCACAGCTGAGTGTCTCTGTGAGGTTGTTACAGTGTGTTTAGTCTTGTGCTACCAAAGATTCCTTTAATTTTTCTTGTTGTCTTTCAAATGGATTTAAATTATGAAAAGATCCTGATAATGTACTGGTTTCAATTAAAAGTAACTTACTGTTCTAATAATCAGTCAAATTCCTAGTTTTTTGATCAGTGTAAGACTTACTGCCATGACAGTTGTTTAATTAAGAGCAAGATTTTTTTCAGGAAAGCCTTATCACTCCTAAGTATGAGGTTTCATTTGGATTTTGGAATCTAGAGAATGCCACCTCCATTTCCATTTGCACTGCTAGCTTTCAGGTGCCAGAGACCGCAGATTGGAAAACAGAAATGGGAAATTTCCTGGGACCTATGCCTTTCCCTCTTTCAGCATGAGTGTTTTGAGATCACTGTAGTCTCCAAATATACCGTTTGGGGTTCATTCAGACTGATTAGCAAGGGTGGGCTCATAGCTCATTTGGTAAAATAGTTACCTGAGTATTGTTCCCAGAACTCCTATGTAAGAAGCCAGACGTGGTGGAACATGCTTATCAATCCCAGCGCTAGAGGCAGAGATAGGCGAACCTCTGGACCTCAGCCCACTGACAATTCTGCCTAGCCTACTTGGCAGGCAGGTTCCAGGTCAGACTGTCCCCAAAATAAGGTGGCCATTGCCTGAGGTTGTCTGTTCTACACTAACACACATGTACATGTGTGCTTCCCACATGAACATGCATGTAACCCTGCCCTTACCTCAGAGAAGTAAAAGACAGATTAGCTGCGTTATTCCCAATTTGACAGATGGTTGTTACTTGGAAAGCAACAAATAAAACAGGTAAGAACCAGCTTATGGTGCTAACTAGTAATATCTAATTATTGAAGGGTTTTGTACAAGGCATTTTGTATAATTCATTAAATGTATTTTCAGAATTATAACCAAGAGAAGTATGCCCTTCAAAGAGAAGTTGAGCTCAAGAGTCGGATGTTAGAAAGTTTGAGCTCTGAATGTGAAGCTGTGAAACAACAACAGAAAATGCAGCTGGAGCAGTTAGAAATGAATCTAAACAGAAGCCACAGGCAGCAAGTGAATGACCTGAAAGATAAGGTTTGGATCTATTTCAGAGCAAAAAAACGTGTGTTTGCATAGCTGTCTGTAAGTATTGGGTGGTTGGGGTGCTTAAGTACTAGCTATGGCAAACAGTCAAGATAAGGTTTCTCCATCTTAATGTTTTGAGTGGAAACACTGAGAAACAAGCTATTAATGGAATTTTTATCCATACTTGTCTTCTAATTGCATGCAATTATTTATCTAATTATTTAAATTTGGTAGTTGGATATTCGTATTTGAAATATGTGTAATATTAGTAACCAGTGTACTGTCCTTATAGCTTGTAGTGTGGTTCATCTTGCAAGATACCTAGTTCTGCAATTAGTGCAAACTGTATGTATTGTAAGTTAATGTGTTTTAGAGGTACAACTATTTAATGTGTTTATGGAAGAAAGATGATGCAGTCCTCACAAGAACTCTGTGAAGGAGGTAACATCATCTCCATTATGACAGACAAGGATGCTGATGGGTAGGCAAACTGAATAAATTGAACAAAATAAGAACCAAAAATTGTCAGCAAACTGCAGTACTGACTTCATGCACTTGGTCTGATGATACCTTTTATACTGGTTCCATTATAAACATAAGAGTGGGCAGCTGTTCAGTGGGAGTCCATTCACCTCAACCCTCCCCACACACAGCTTCCCAGGGACTTCACCTTGCCTCTCAAACATCTAGGGCTTCAGATCCTACTCTACCAAAACTTGATAAGATTTTTTTTAATGGCCTATTTTCTCAGAAGTCTGTTTTTCAATGCTTAGTGGTTTTTTTTTTTATAGTGTCTTTTAATATTTTTCCATGTCTGTTTTCACCTATAATTTTTTTATTAAACTAACTACATATTTTTCCATTTTGAATAATGGTATCAGTGAAATCATACCTAAGTAAATATTGCTTTGTGTAATACACACTTCTCTTGCCTGTGTCTCTGACATGTACTAATCCTGTTTTTAGCTAATCTGATTTGAGACGTGGGTAACTGGAAATGATATATCCTTATTTTTTATTCCTGCATACAATTAGCAGTAGCGCTAATTACCTAAGTAGATATGATAGAGGAAATATTTGGGGACTAGGTAAAGCAAAGATGATTATAAAGGTGGCCTTTTTATAGAAGAAAAAGGAGTAAATTAAAAAAAAATTACTGTGTTACCATTATTCTGAAGCCATTTGTTTTTAAAATTTTCAAGGTCTACTCATTGTCTTTTTCATATTTCTCACATTTCATCTGTCCTTGAATTCCAAGGAGTTGATGTGTAAAATATCACAGTAGCTCCTGTCCCTGTAGTCCAGAACATCATTACAGGAGTGTGGTCTTCTAACCAGGTTACCTGCTTGCATCATTGTTGCCCATGCCTCCTCTGCTTAAGGCCTGCAGATGAGTACTTCCTGTTTTTTAGGGATGCCTCATGCTCTACCACCTTCAGCTGCTTCTAAGAAACCAGGTCTACTTGGATGATTAGCGTGGGGTCATTCCTGACTTTGTTGAAGAAACACTCTGTGTGTGTGGATGTAATACGGTGTTTAACTTGAAAACCCAAGATCCTGTGTTCATTTCCCAGCACCGCGGGAGGGGGAGGGGGAGAAGGAGTTGCATTGCCATTGCTCGCGTCACTCAGATCCAGTGCGTTTCTGTAGAGTAGCACCTAGAAAGTCAGGTTGTAAGACCTGGGGTCTCACAGCTCAGGAGTTCAAGATCGCGCCCTTCCCAGAAACTCCCCCAGACCAAGACTCGTTGCAAAAGCAAGAGGTTTATTAACCATTGCGCAATGGGGTCACCCCTGCCGGTCAGCAAAGAGTGGCACCTGAAGACAAAGGCCTTTAGGTTTTTAAAAGAAAAATTGCGGGAGATTTGAAGTTGCAGTCTTGGCAATCTAGGATTGGACGAGGAAGCTATAAAGTAAGATAATTGGTTAGTCTTAGGTGTTCAAGCTTGGCCAGTCCTGCCAAGTGTGGATGCAGCTGCAATTGAAGGTGGGAGTGGTTAGCTCATCCTTGAAGATTAGGGGCTACAGACTTTTGGCTGGAGGTCAAAAGCTACTCAGAAGAAGTCTAGGTTTGTTGCTAAGAAATGCTATCTCAAAGACAGGAGTTTTTCTTTTTGCTGAGTGAAGGTCATTGCTTGCTTGCCTTTTTTTCTATTTGTCCTCATAGATAGGGTCACATTTTTCCATTCTCTGGAAAGGTACTAAGAGGCTTTAGCTTAACCTGAACCTAAAACTCAAAACTATAGGCTTTAGAAGACATATAGGTTACAAAGTTAGTCTAACCCTTTCAAGGTATGGTGTCTAAATACAGCTTTCAGAAAGGAAATAGCCCTTGAGTGTGAAGGTTGTGAATCTTTCTCTGTCTTCTCTGGATTTAGTTAGAAAAGCTGAAAGTGGAGTTAGATGAAGCGAGGCTCAGTGAAAAGCAGCTGAAGCAGAAGCTGGAGGACCAGGAGGAACTTCTCTCTCGAAAGTCTGAAGAGCTCCGGCTAATGCCTGAGCAGCGCAGCCACAGTAGCATGTCTTCGGAGGTGCTGGCTCTTCAGATTGAGCTAACTGAAATGGAAGGTGTGAAGGTAATTTATGTTTCATGTGTTTTCTTGTTTTACTGTAGAATATTTCTGCGTGTTCTTGTAATTGCTCTAAGAACTAGTTTAAGGACTGAGGTGGTTTTTGACCTAACAAAAAAGCACCCTGCAGAGTTTTCAGGAAGATTACTTCATGGATAAATAGTTTTCTGTTTTGTGATTATATAAGGCAGATTTTACACTATGAAAACTCTGGAGTCATTTATAGGCTTTTATTTTCATTTGAGTCATAAAAGCCCAATATAAAATGTTAGTACAGTGGAAATTAAAATGTATATCAATACGAATTTTTCATTTCAACTGTGGAAAATTAAAACTTAAAATTTTCAAGAAAAGGAGGAAGTTTCCAAGGTAATTTTGTTGACTTTCTGCTAAAAAAAAAAAAATTCATTTATTAAAAAACGTTTTAAAATATACCTCTCAACATTTGAATTTTTTTTTTTTTTTTTTTTTTAATGTGTGGTGGGAACCATTAACATTGAATCAACTGCTGTGTGAAAGATTATTCAGAACTCTTGTCTGTGTTCTTGTTGAATAGGATGCCCTCAAGGAAGAGGTCAAGGAACTGCAGTACAAACAAGAGCAACTAGAATGTTTCAATACTTCCTTACTGCACCAGGTAGACCGGCTTCAAGAAGAAAAAGAGGAGCGAGAGAAGGAAGCAGTGTCTTATTATAATGCCTTGGAGGTACGAGTGGCACAGTGCTCCGGTCAGTAACCAGTTGCTGTCTGTGGATCTCCATCAGTGAAACTGTTCTCTTTTCTATCCAGAAAGCTCGCATAGACAATCAGGATCTTCAGGTGCAGTTGACTCATGCACTCCAGCAAGCGTTGGATCCCAACAGTAAAGGAAACTCTCTGTTCGCAGAGGTACTTGCAAGCAGCGTTCTCATGACTGAGTTGACCACTCTGGCATTCCATTCACTACAAGAGCGAGCACATTAATATTTTCCAGGTGGAGGATCGAAGGGTGGCAATGGAACGCCAGCTCAACTTGATGAAAGTCAAGTATCAGTCACTGAAGAAGCAAAACGCATTCACCAGAGAGCAGATGAACAAAATGAAGGTATAGACTCATCACTGGTCAAGGCCTTCAGATCTGCTTTGTCTTGGCACTGCTTATGCATATATGTACAGGAAACTGTTTTCCTTCAGAAACCATGCTTAAATGGTTATTTGTAGAATTGCATGATTCTGATTTTTACATCTAAAAAATCATCTTGGGAAAGCAGCTGTTGACTGCTTGAGTGGTTACTCACTGGCTTCACCAGGTAGGCAGTGAGTCTTGTCAAGTTGGAATGAGAAATAGTTTATTTCTAGCTCATAGCATGGTGTCTTCTTGACCGTAAGTTGTTTCCTACTTCATCCAGACTTAGCTCTCTCACCAGTTCTCACAGGAAGGCCTAGTTTTTATTGACATCTAGACCGGTTCCTTGTCACCTGCAACTCATTAAGTCAAGGATAGACTGAATTGTAAGGTTCTTTGTTCTTCATTTCCTCATTCTGATCATGTGAGAGGTTATGGAGAAGCTTGCCACAGAGAACAGCAGGCCTGTCTGTACCTGGTTTTTATATCTGACCCCTCCTCTCTGACCATGATGCTGCTAAGGCAGGCTCCCTCCTCATTTTCTTCATAAGTGTTTTACCAAAGCAACAAGGAAATTCACTAATTAAGCTTGGGAGTTAGATGAGATATGTGTGAAATGCAGTATTAGGTTTCATATGTAAGTGGGAAGGTGATAGCCAGAATGTGCCTCTTAGAGTTGTCCTGGACTTAACGTGTAGTAAAAGGCTGTCCCATTTTGTCGTTTATTTCTGTGGGTAACTTAACAATTTCTGCCACTTAATTAAAAATTTTAGAAAACCCCCAGTAGACCCATAGTGTTAATTCAAGTGAAGAGTAGCAGGTAACATTTGAACCATCTGAATGGCATGCTTCCAGACCACAGCATGTAGTTGAATGTACATTTCACAGACAAATATATTAAAGACTTCAGACAACCATAAAAAGTAGTCATAAGTACTCAGACATTATATCCACAACAAAACTTCTAATGCAAATGTTTTCAGATTATGAGATGGAAAAGAACTAATGAATCTGAGATGAACTCAAATTAGTAGAGCACAAAACAGTAATTGTACCAGAAATGTGTTTACCAGGATCTCAGTTTTGATTTTGGGAGATGATTTTTTTTTTTTTTTCTAGTTACAAATCTCCACACTGCTGAGAATGAGGGGATCTCAAACAGAATTTGAGCAGCAGGAGCGGTTGTTTGCCATGTTGGAGCAGAAGAATGGTGAAATAAAACACCTTTTAGGTGAAATCAATAATCTGGAGAAATTTAAGGTATATGAAACATCTTTTTAAAAACACAGCCAAATTTTAAATTGAATTTCTCAATATTTTTTAACTTCGATAGTATATTTTGCAGTTGACTTTCAGTTTCAGTCCACCTTGACTCGCTCTTTAAATTTTTTGGAACCAATGGCAGCCTTAACTCAGTCTTATATATATGCTGTGAAGTAAGTCCCAGCATTACTTGTTGCCTTCGACCCCAGTGACCTGCCAGGGTTGTCAGATACCAAGTCTCTGTGGATCCATGATCTGTCAACATTCTCTGTGTTTCCATTCTAAAAGCCAGGAGGGGAACTGTGGAACTGGTGTGGTTGGAAGCCTTGGTTTCAGAACTAACACCTCAGTTCACCTCTTACAGCAGTACTGTACTGCTTAAGTTAAAGAGGTTTTGTAGTATGTTTTTATTTTTAGACTTTATTTTCCCTAGTTTTTTTTTTTTTCTTCACAGTGTTCTGGTTACTTTTCCATGTTTGCTTTTTCTCTTGCATAATGTATGCAACACACATACACCCCCCCCCCCCCCACACACACACACAGAGAACTATCTGATCTTTTTACTGGGATTATATTACATTTATGAATTTTTAAATTTTGAATTACCTTAGGGAACATTGGTATCTTTTCATTAAGCTTCTTGTGAAAGATTCAAGTTTCTTTAAGTAACAGATTTTGTAAATGTGAACGGTCCCTTAAGCATTCTGTATTTCGACCGTTGTTTTACTTCTATCTTTTGGAAAACTGTTAAAAGAAGGAAGGTTTTGTTAAATGTGTCTTTACTGGGTAATGGCGTGCCAACACTGGGTGAGCGCTATACTCTAAAAAGTACATTTTGAAATTAGTGCGATTGGGGTTTCTGCAGTCTTAAAATTGTTTGTGAATTTTAAAACAAATTTACCCCCTGGTGAAATACAAGGAATTTTCTTCAATAATGGGAGTGCGTAGGGGGTGGACAGCAAGAATAACTTAAAGGATTTCCTCTCCGTGGATTTTCATTTTATGGCTTTCTCTGAAGTTCAGAATTGAACCCAGCAGTCATTGCTTCTTCCCTTCTAAAAACTAGCAGAGGGAACTGTGGAACTGCTGTGGTTGGAAGCCTTGGTTTCAGAACTAACACATTATTTTTATGCCCGTGTCACCCTGAGTCACTGTCCTTATTTGACAAAGGACTGCTGACTCTCCTTGCTCCAGAAGGCAGGTGAGTGAAGAGGGTGGTTGTTGGCATGGTGGCTGCACAGGGATGTCCCTACTTAGTGGGGGCCGTGCTGTTGCAGCAAACCTGATCTGCTGTCTACTTTGTGTAATAAGAGGTTTTGCTTTCCTTAGAACCTATATGAAAGTATGGAATCTAAGCCTTCCACATCAGCTCTCCCTTGTACTCTAGAAGACAGCACCTATTATGCAGATTTACTTCAGCTAAAGCTTGATAAATTAAAGTAAGTGTTGGGGATTGTGAATATGAAAGTGAAGGTTTGCTTGCTTACATTATTATTATTATTATTGTTATTGACTGATTTCTTTTAAAAACTTCTTAATTGTTAAAAAATTTTCAGAAAAGTCAATAAAAATATCTTTGAGTAGCCTATGAGTTTATATAAAATATGCATTTCTTTTAAGGTAAATGAAAAGAACTCTAAGTTTCTCAATCAAAATTCAAGAATAAATTTCATGTAATATTTTCTCCCTTTATTTCCTTAAGAATTTGTGAAATTTCTGTGGGGGTTGCATTGGTAAGACTTAGTTTAATTGTTTATTATTTTCTTTATTGCTGCGAACTCAGAAAAATGACTTTTTAAAACATAAGATTTATTCCACCGTGTTTGTATCAAGTATTATTTTAATGTTCTTTAATTATTCTTTTCTGTTAACTGTAGCAAAGAGAATGAAGGTACAAAAGGCGAACTATCCATTCAGAGAATGAAGGCATTATTTGAGAGCCAGCGAGCCCTAGAGATTGAGCGGAAACTGTTTGCAAATGAAAGACATCTGCAGATTTCAGAAAGTGAAAATATGAAACTGAGAGCTAAGCTAGATGAATTAAAGCTGAAGTATGAACCTGAAGGTGTGTGTTTCACAGGATTTTGTCTTCCAAATCATGAGTAGCTCTGGGAAACAAGGAAGTGTTTTGAAGCATTTTACCAGTGTCATTATGAACTAACTTGTGTTTATGTGTCTGTAGTTAGTGTAGCTGTCAAATGTGTAGGAAAATTAAGAGAACTGGCTACTACATAATCATGAATATAATCATGTTTTTTCTTCTGATATCTGAGTTCATCATACTGAATAGCAAGAACTTGAGTTTTTGTCCTTTAAGATTGTAGCATCTCATGGTGACTCAAAGAGTTTTGAAGTTTATTTTGAGAAAGGGTCTCATTGTGCAGCCCAGACTAGCCTCATACTCAAAATATTCTTTATTTTGCCTCCTGAGTGAGATCATAGATTCATGTCACCAATGCCCAGCTAAAAGTTTCATTTTGTTGAATCAGCTGATACTGGAAACAGTTAAGTTTATTTATATAAACACTAAGTAAGGCTTGGATTCCAGTACTTATTCCTTCTTCCTTTTCTCCATCACTTTATCCTTCACCCCCTCTAATGAACCTTTGGAAGAGCATTCCAGGACTGATGAAGGAGTGTGCATGTTAGGATTCAGGCTCTTTAGATGTTGTGTGCTGCCATTCTGTTGACCAGAATTTAGTCCTGTGTCCTTGGGACCCACCACCAGAAAGGCTTAGGAAATGTAGTGTGGATCTCAAGAGCTGTCTGTGTTTCCAGGTCCATATTGACGGTTCTGATTGGTTTTCTTCTGACACATAATAGTTGTTATTTATTAGTATACAGTGTGGTTATGTCTGTATTATATATTGATTAAATCAACGTAATTAATATTCATCACTTTAGAAACATCTCAGAACTGTTCATGGTTTAAGTTTACTATCTTGAACTTTTATCCTGTCAAAGTTGTGAGAGCTTTCAAGATCCTTTCCTCTGACCGTGAAATGCACAGTATGTTAAGGTTGACTGGTTGTCCTGCTGTACAGCTCTCCAGTGAGGGAAATCACATTTGGTTTTTAAACATGCATCTCTTACTACTGCAGGTGAGTGTGTACTTCTGTGTGGACACACACATGTATGTGCTGCGAGGACAGCAACATTAGAAAGCTGGTTCTGTCCTTCTACCGCTGTATAGTCCCTGGAGCTTGAACTCAGGTTGTCCGGCTCACAGGCAAGCACTTTTAGCCAGCGAGCCATCTCAGGAGCCTTTATTTTGCCCTTTTAAAAAATCAGATTGCTCTTGTGGTATTTTGCTTTAAGGTTTTTACAATTTATAGACATTAATGTTTTATTAGCTGTGTAATTGGCCAACATTTTCTTCCATTCATTGTTTCCTTTGCTGTTGATATGATCCCATGTTTCTTTTTGCTTTTATTGCTTATGCTTTTGAGATCCTCTCTAAAAGGTCTTCATTGGAGCAGTCATGTAGCAGTTATCCTGTTTTCCTCTGGTATTTTTAGAGTTTGGGATATTGGATTTAGTGATTAATCCATTTTTAGATGATTCTGTTTCATATGAGGCGAGATGTGTAGTACTTTGTGTGTGGTTGCCAGTTTTCTTAGCACAGTTAACTGAAGAAATCGTCATTTCCCTGTTATGTTTTGATTTTGTGAACCCAGAAGCTCTGTATTGATGGATTAGTTAATTTCTTGGCTTTCTCTTCAGCTCTACTGGTCAGTGTTCCCTCTGTTGCTGATTTCCTTGGGATCAGAAAAGATATTTGATGGGTCCCCAGTTTGGGCTTTTTTTTGTTTGTTTGTTTATTTTTGTTCACAATTGTTTTTTTTTTTTTCCTAACTTGTCATTTTCATAAGCAACAGAGAAGCCTGTGAATTCTACAGCTGTTGGCTAGAATGTTGTGTAAGTTTCTGTTAGCTCCATTTGAAGTCTGAAGTGCACTTTAAATCCAGACCGTGCTGGCTTTCTGTCTGGATGATTTTCCGTTGCTGTAATTGGGGTGTTGCCATCGCCAGCTGCTGCTTGTCCTGCTGTCTGTCTAATACAGATTTAGTCGTGTGTTTGTTTGTATTTATACTTGGTTTTGGCCTCTTTACCATTCTTTAATATCCTAGTCTCATAGTTTTAATATGAACCTTATTTGACTTGACATATATATTCCACTTTCTTCTGGTGGATTACATTTTTTGCTCATTCATTTTCAGCCTCTGCATATCCTTGCAGATTGAGTATCACCTCAGCAGCATTGGCTGTTCTTGTTTTCATAATCCCTTCAGCCATGCTCTGTCTTTTAATTAGATAATGTAATCCATCTGCATCCAATATAATTACGGATCATTAAGAACTTGGTGCTGTTGATTGCTGGTTGTTTTCTGGTAGGCCTTTTTTCTTTCTTCCTTTCCTACTGTCTTCATTTCTGAGTAATGTTTCTCAGTATGTTTGATTTCATGCTGTAGATTTTAGGTTTTTTTTTTTTTTAATTTATAATTACCGAAGCTTATAAAGAACATCTTAATATTTAAAAGAAGTTTAATTGAACCGAATTGTAACAGTTTTAAATACGTTTCTCTCCTTGGAATTTTGATGGCAAATTTCAACTCATTTTGTATTTCTTATCTCTTAACAATTGGTTGTAATTGTTCCTTTGTTAAAAGTGTTTTTTCTGCATATATGTCTATGCATGCCTGGTCCTGGAGAGGTCAGATAACCTGGATCTCGAGTTAAGAACAGTTGTGAGCAGCCATGTGAGTGCTAGGAATTGAACCCAGGTCCTGGAAGAGCAGCTAGTGGTCTTAACCCTAAGCCATTGTCACTCCAGCCCCACTTTTGGATGGTTTCATGTTGCACATTAACATCTTAACACCTTCTTTTTGAACACCCTGTACCTTCTCTTGGAAGACTGGTCTAGTCACAGTGAAGTCTAGTCTTCAGCTTTTATTAGGGAAGAGTGTCTCTCTCAATCCCAAAGAACTGCTTTGACTGTCAAGATTATTCCCTTCAGCGCTCTGAAGTCTGCTCTGGGGCCATTGCTGTTTCCGCACCTGACTTATGCTGCTCTCAGAGTATTTTCCTTGACTTTTGAGAGTTGGACTCTTTGGGTTGGGTCTGATCAGACTTTTGACCTTCCCATAGTTGTGCATTTCTTGGGTTTATAAAGTTTTCTGTTTTGTTTGTTTGTTTTTTGTTTTTAATAAACTTTGTACCTTTTGTCATTCTCTATTTCTCTTCTGGTACTAGTGGCATAGACTTTTCCTTTGGATAGTGTCTCATAAACTGCTGAAGTTTTCTTTTCTTACTCATTTTCTTCTTATTTTCAAACAGCCTGTCTTCAGACTCACTAACTACTTTTCTCTTCTTCATTTTTTATTTATTGCTTTTTTTCCCCTCTTTCTCAGTCCTATTAACGGATTAAGTTTTTGTTATCATATTCCTTGCCATCTGTGTTTGCTTGTGACATCTGTTTCACTGTTTTGGTGGGGAAGTTAGTTTTGCTATTGTTTGTTTGTTTGGAAACTGAGCAGACCCACTTTTTATATTCCACATAAGCATTTAGAGGTCACCCTTAGCACAGGTTAGCTGCCAGTTTTTGTGATAGCTATGTGGTTGGTATAGTATCCACTCTAGGCGGACTTAGGGACAGTCTATAAGAGGGCACCCAGGACATGTGGAAGAGCCAGTCAACACACTTAGTCCAAAGGTCGTGTAGACTGTGCCTCCAGCAGCATGAAACCTGTATGTGGTCTGTCTGGAATGTTTGGCAAGGATGAAGGGCCACTGTCAATAACTGGATATTAATTTCTGTTGGCCTGTTTTCCTTGTTCTCTTTTGGCTTGGGTTAGAATAGCCCCATGGTTCTCCCTTGTGGGCCAGTGCAGGACTGAAACTCCTACATAGTGAACAGGCTGACTGGAAGTCAAATGTCCCCGCTTCATGTCTTTCTTTCTTTCTTTTTATTTTTTATAGTAATTACAGTTTATTCACTTTGTATCCCAGCTGTAGCCCCAACCCTCCCACATTCATCCTCCCTCCCTCTTCTCCTCCCATGCCCTTTCTCCAGTCCAATGATAGGGGAGGTCCTCTTCCCCTTCCATCTGACCCTAGTCTATCAGGTCTCATCAGGACTGTCTGCATTGTGTTCCTCCTTGGCCTGGTAAGGCTGTTCCCCCTGGGCGGGGTGGGGGAAGTGATCAAAGAGCCAGCCACTGAGTTCATGTCAAAAACAGCCCCTATTCCCCTTACTAGGGAACTGAGCTGCCATGGGCTATATCTTTTCAGGGGCTTGGGGTTATCTCTATGCATGGTTCTTGGTTAGAGTATCAGTCTCAGAAAAGACTCCTGGGCCCAGATTTTTTTTGTTCTGTTGCTCTCCTTGTGGCACTCCAGTCCCTTCCAAGTCTTTCTAATTCTCCCTTCTTTCCTAAGATTCCTTGAACTCTACCCAAAGTTTGGCTATGAGTCTTAGCATCTGCTTTAATAGCCTGCTGGGTAGAGTCTCTTACCCAGGGTCCTCCTTCTTGCTTAGCTTCTTTAGGTATACAGATTTTAGTATGATTATCCAATATTATATTCTGATATCCACTTATAAGTGAGTATAAACCATGTGTGTCTTTCTGCTTCTGGGATACCTCACTCAGCAGGATCTTTTCTAGTTCCCACCATTTGCCTGCAAATTTCATGATTTCCTTGTTTTTAATTGCTGAATAGTATTCCATTGTGTAAATGTATCACAGTTTCTGAATCTATTCCTCAATTGAGGGACATCTGGGTTGTTTCCAGATTCTGGGTATTATGAATAAAGCTGCTACGAACATGGTTGAGCAAATGTCCTTGTTGTATACAAGATGTTGTATATGCATCTTTTGGATATACGCCTAGGAGTGGTATAGCTGGATCTTGAGGAAGCACTATTCCTAATTGTCGGAGAAATTGCCAGGTTGATTTCCAAAGTGGTTAAACAAGTTTACATTCCCACCAGCAATGGAGTAGGGTTCACCTTTCTCCACATCCTCTCCAGTATGTGTTGTCACTTGAGTTTTTGATCTTAGTCATTCTGATGGATATAAAGTGAAATCTCAGGGTGGTTTTGATTTTTCATTTCTCTGATGACTAAGGACATTGAGCATTTCTTAAAGTGTTTCTATGCCATTTGATATTCCTCTACTGAGAATTCTGTTTAGCTCTTTACCCCATTTTTTTAAATTGGATTGCTGATTTGTTGCTGTTTAACTTCTTGAGTTCTTTATATATTCTGGATATTAGCCCTCTGTCAGATATAGGGTTGGTGAAGGTCCTTTCCCAGTCCGTAGGCTGACATACTGTGCCATTTTGATGACAGTGTCCTTTGCTTTACAGAAGCTTTTTAGTTTCATGTCTTTTTTGAGCATATTCAGTAAATTCTGTGCAGGATATCATAGTGGCTCGGGGAAAAGGGAGTCATAGTCACAGAGAACCTTTTTATAGTTCAGGCGCTGTGTATGTTTTTGTTCTAGAGTCTTCACCATCCTGCTCTTGCATTTTGTTTTTCTGAGATCTATGAAGGATTTTTGAGTGCATGGCTATTCAAACTCTGGAGGAATAATTGATGGAAATACAGGTCCTACCATCTTCTATCTTTTATCTTGGATTTATTTATAGTTACCTAACTTTAAGACTGGGTCCCACTATGTCATCCGGACCAGCCTGGAACTCATTGTGTATAGGCCAGGCTTGAATTCATAGAGGTCCTACCACTGATGCCTGCTAAGTGCTAGGATTAAAGATGTGTACTGTCATGAATGGCACAGGAGTTCATTTTTTAAGGAAAAACATTTTGATAGGGGAAATACAATAGGTTTAATTACTCAGGAAATTGCCTACCAATATATTTTCTTCAGCTGATATACTGCAAACAATGGATTTTATTGTGTACAAATAGAAAAATAGCAAGTCAGTGTTAAGAAATATATGAATGCCTTTGTTCTGACCCAGAAGGTTGTAATACCATGTCTTAGTTTAAGGGATCTTTTTATTTTTTTTAATATTAATTACAGTTTATTCACTTTGTATCCTAGCTGTAGCCCTGTCCCTTATTCCCTCCCTCCCTCCCTCATCTCCTAGTTTAAGGGTTCTTTTTTTTTTTTTTTTTTTTTTTTTAAGTTTAAGGGTTCTTAACCAGGTTACCTCTTTGCAGTCATCTCTGGGAACTATAGTGACTCTCACCACTAGGGGGAGATGGTTGACAATAGGAAGATTTTTATAGGTTTTAAAAGGCATCTTTTTCTATCCTTTCTCTCTTTTCTTCCAATAGGCCCCCCTAATTAAGAATTACCCATTATGAATTTTAAAGATCTGCTAACCCAGCAAAGACATAGCGTGGTGGAGATTGGGGTGATTCAGAGGAGCAGTGCAAAAGAAAGGGGCATGCTGATTTGAAAGCAGTAGTGTTGAACAAGGAACTCCTTTCCTTGCGATAGTATCTCAGACCTCTAATATTTTTATTTTGAAAATGAAAGGGCACATTGATATGGCAGCAGGAGAGAGATATTGGAGCAAGTAATTGAGTGTCTGTGGGACCCACATAGGGGATCAGTAGGCCACGAGGATAGAGGCTGTGCAGTGGCTGCTGTGAGGCAGGGTGTTGGGACCGGGAGACAGCCATCGTAGAAGTGGCCAGATTCTGAATGTATTTTATAGATGAGTCTAGTAGGTGTTCGTTGCCAATCTTCAGAGTTCCATCTGTCCTTTTCACTTCATCCCTACAAGACAGTACTGAGGGAAGCAAGTGTTCTTAAATTTAAAGACACCGAAGTGCAGAGAAGTTACTACCTGGCTGCAGTGCAGGACTCGAACTGGAACTCCTGGACTCAACCACTGCTGTTCACATCCCAGAGATTTCAAGAGAACTTCCTGCACACCCTGATCATGCTAGAGCTTTATATATTACAGAATTTACAAGGAAAAAGTTGCAGATGGTCTTGCAAGGTAGAGTTGGTAACTTATGGGGCCAGAGCTGGAGTTCAGTGAGGGTAAAGCCTGGAGCCCTTTCCTAGACCAGAAACAAAACCAGCCAAGAGTGTCTATCAAAAAGATGGATGAAAGACAGTACAACAAAGTAGGAGTGAAACTGACCATGAGAACAAGTGGGGCTAGCAGGAAAGCTGAGAAAACGGGGGATACGCTGTGAATGTGTGGGTTGCTTAACATGCAACATACACTTCCATGACCATTTATAAGTACTGAAGAAAGGAACAGTGATTTAAAAATATGTGTTTCATCAAAGAGAAAAAGGTATGTTAAGAGTACAAAAAAAAAAAGGAAACGAATTTATATATAACTCACTTGGTTTCCTAGAGTTGTGTCTTTGTTTTTATTCACTGAGTATATATTTTAATAATTTTTTTTCTTGCAGAGAAAATTGAAGTCCCTGTACTCAAAAAGAGGCGTGAGGTGCTGCCGTTGAACATAACCACCCCAGAAGAAACAGCAGCTACCAGTGCCGTGGGAGAAGTTCCTAGCCTCCCACTTCAGAGAGAGGAGAAGGAGTCCTGTCTTAATAACTTAGAAGATAACACTGTGCAGTGGGAACAGCCAGCCTCTTCAAGCATTCCGCCAGCCACTCTCTCTCCTCACAAGAGCCTGCCTCAGGATATGCAGCCAAAGAAGGAGAAGAAATGTGTGAAGCTTGCGGATGGTCCAGCCAACACTGAGGCCTTGCGTGAACAAAGTGGGAACAGCCCCTGTCCTCCCAGGTCAGTGTGTCTTTCTGCCTGGCTGCCGGCAGCCTTCTCAGTCTTTCTCCCTGCCTGAACGGTGCCATGCTGCTCTGTCTGTGCTCTTTCCTAGCGTTGTGTGCACTGTACCTTTGCAGTTTGATCGACCCTGCTTTGGTTCTCTTCAGCGGCTCTGAAAGACTAAGGTGATCGCAGCAGGAAAGGGCAGTGAACACAGTGATGGATGCTAGGCAGTTACATGTCCTGAGTCCATGAAGCAGAAACAGCCCAGCCCAGCGTTCCAGAGTGTTTCCCTGGGTGGAGTAAAAATGGGCTGTTGTTTTTCTCTCAAGAGTAGCCATGAAAGAAAACCAACTCTCTCAAAGGGCTTTTCAGATACTTTTCAGTCTGAAACACTTAGACTTAAATTTTGGCGGAAGAGCAGGTAAAAGTTTTTATGGTTTTTGATATTTATACTAAGTTTTCAGAAATAGGCTTTGATGCCTGCTTGACATTTTTAAATATCAAAGCTAATTTAGTTTCATTTTTATTCCAAAACTTCAGAGTTTCCAGTTTCCGTGTAATTGAGTTTATGACTACCAGAAAAAATATCAGACAGTGTATGGAGGGCTCTGTTCCAAAGGGCTGTCTTTTAAAGTAAAACTACTAGAGGTAAGAAGGTAAAAGAGTGGAGCCCAGGAGTGGACTGAGGTCTAGGTCTGTCCAGCAGGATCAGCAGGACAGTAGCTAAGTGTGGAGCTGACCTAGATGTCCAGCATCACCGGCATGGGCGGAGGATGTGTGCTATACATACTCAGTGGAACTTTTCAGCCACAGAGGCCACAAAGCTTGATAGTTTGGAGAAAGATGAATGCACTTGGAGATGCTCATGCTAAACTAGTGCAGCAAAACTCAAATAAATGTTGCATGTTCTCTCACTAGTGGCACCCAGATTTTATATGTAGATAGAATCATAGATGTACATGTGACATGGAAATAGAAGTGGAAAGGATGGGCACAGGAAAGATAGATCGATCTGTGGACCCCTGTGGACCCACACACTTGTATAAAATGTTTTAAAAAGTGAATAAGCAAATGAAGGAACTAGATAGTTTTAAGGAGATGGATGATGTTTGCATACCATGCAGTGGTAAATGTATTTAAAATAATACCCTTGTACATTTAAAAATTGAGCTTATTGATGAGCATTTTCACCATGAGATGAGCTCTCTGGGAGCTTCTAGGGCTATGGGAATCTCAGAGAGTGGGTGCAGAATCAGACATTTAACTAAGATAGCAAGAAACAGCCCACCTCATACCAAAGGGCTTTCTGTCCTTTTAAGTCTCCAGTACTTGGTGTTCACCAAGAAGAATCACCTTCCTTTGCTGCTGCATTACTGTGTTGGATTTTTAAAATAATGCTTACATCTATAAGACATGTAAAATAAAAACTTGATAATCTAGCACATACCCGTGGTTTCAGGCAGTCCTGGAAGGAGTTCAGCAGACTCTGCCTGCTGCCTGGGAAGTCTGTTGGACAGTGTGTCTTTGGAGGTGGATTTCTAGGCGAACACTCCACCTTGCTGTTGGTGTTCATTTCTCTTTCTGCCCTTTGAGGCTTGAGAAACATTACATAGATGCATGCCTCTAATGGATTCAAATCTGTCTGGTGAAACAAACAAACAAATAAGAAAATACCACAGAGCATTTGTTTTTAAGTGTGTAAGTCCATCTACTGACTTAGAACATTTCCAGCTTTACGTCTTTTCTCCTTGGATAGCTTAGACACATGGTTTGACGTTAACTTTGTCACAGTAAAGATGCATTTCGCTGAGAACTGGAATACTGAGTGCTTTAGTCACATAATGAATGCTCTTCCATGAAAAATTTATGAACGCTTTCAAAACATCTCCTGCACTGTTTATCTGCTTTCCTGACGGAAACTCAGTTTGAAGGTTTTTTTGTTTATTAGCTTGCTTTTTCTTTCTTTTCTTTTCTTTTCTTTTCTTTTCTTTTCTTTTCTTTTCTTTTCTTTTTTTTTTTTTTTTTTTTTTTTTTTTTTTTTTTTGTCTGAGACAGATCTCTACTTGGGTAGCCTACGGGTTCTGTTATTTTATCCTGAGCCTAACTTTTTGTATGTGGTGCCAACCTTAAAATATTGCTTTAGCACTTTGAACTTTGTATTCCGTTTTCTTATGGTGGGTATCTCCTTTTACTTACTACTTTAGGCATTACTTGACCTTTGATCAGATTTAAAGATACTTAAACATTAAACATTTTTTAAAAATTAAGCCTTCTGATATAAAATATTGTTTTAGAGTCAGCCATCCAGTATCATAATGGAGTCTACTATAGTTTTTGTCTTGTGTTTATAAAATAGTACTCCCCCGTTTGGAGGCCCACTCTATTAGGCATTTATTTCTTTTTCTGACCATACTTGAATTCAGAATATCTACTTTATTGCTTGTAGGTTAACTGCAGAATCAAGACTTCCAACAGAAGTGAAAGAAAGGAAAGAAATTACAAACAAATTGGACAAAGGAGCTTGTAAGAAATCATACGACATCATGTATGTGTCTTCAAAGTCAACCCCAGAGGTGCAGTGCCCACAGCAGTAGTGGGGCGGTGCATGCTGGGCTTTGCTAGTGATCATTCACGTGCCCTAGACACCTGTGGAGCATTTGCATAACCCAGTGCTAACACCTGCTGTGCTCCTGTCTCTGTGATGTGTTCAGATGTGGCTGTGATGCTGACCTGGAAGGTCCTTAAATGATGTTCCTTCTCAGAACTGTGAAGCACAATGAACAGATATATTCATATATGTAATCTAGATGTTTATGATTCAAGTATACTAAATAATTTTGAAGTTTAAAATAAAATTTCAATATTCCATTTGTGTTTTCTTAATTCTACATAAACAGTAGGATATTAATGAAAGAGAACGAGAAGAAAAATGAGCTTCAAGGATTTTTATTTCCTGATAATATAATTTTTTTGTTTGTTCGATTGGTTTGGTTTGGTTTTTTGAGACAGGGTTTCTCTGTATAGCCCTGGCTGTCATGGAACTCACTCTGTAGGACAGGGTGGTCTTGAACTCAGATTCTCCTGCATCTGCCTCCTGAATGCTGGGATTAAAGGCGTGGGCCACCACTGTGGCTGTGATAACATGTATATATGTTAACTTTACTCACATATAATTATATGTTCACATACATATAGCAAAAGATACTTGATTTTAAATTTACTAATTTTTAAGTGATTATTGATTTGTCTGTAACTTAATTTCATACATTCTTCATTATAGGTAGGTGAAATAGGCCTCTTCAGAAAACTATCATGGTGTATACAGATAGAGAAGAGGAATTCACAGATTGTAAGCCTAAATACACAGTTGGGATTGGCAAGGTTGTGAAGAAATAACAGAATCCTGGTTTTGATCTTTGTGTTGTGATTGGCATCCTTTTAGTTAATTTTAATTTAGGCCTTTCTTGACCTCTTTGTCAGCCTTAAATATATTTATCATACATTCAAAAATTTTAAGTCTTGTCAGAAATCACATAAATATCCTCCAAATCAATCCCAGAGACCCAGTGCCACAAAGATTGCTCAGCAGATTGGGAGGCCCACCCATGTGGGCCGCCTGCTTTGCCTTGCCTCCCCAAACCTGTGAGCAGTGCTTGATCTTATACTTGGGCATCATTGCCTAGGCATAAAGTTAAAGACATTAGGAATCTATCTCAAATAAGTCCATGAAAACATGTTAGGTAAGAGTAATTGCCTCTAGCATCTAAATAGATCAAATAGTAAACTTGCTTGTTTTAATTTGCAAAAGGCATACTTTAGGAAATTAGAATATTCATGTTCAATATCCCTCACAAAAACAAAGTAGCTGAAGGCACTAGGAAATAAATAACAGTTTCAACAGGATAGTATTGAATTAGAGTCCATGTTTAAATGTATGTTGGAGAAATGTACATCAATTTCTTCCAACACTGTCTTAGCTGGGTTTCTATTATGATAAAACACCATAACCAAAAGCAACTTGGGGCAGAAAGGTTTTCTTCAGCTTGTAGTTCCACACTATAGTCTCCAATTGAAGTCGGGGCAGGAGCTGATGCAGAAGTACTGCATACTTGCTTGCTCCTCCTGGCTTCCTCAGCCTGCTTTCTCACAGCACCCAGGGCTGGTCCCGCCCATCATGAGCTGGGCCCTCCCACATCAGTCCTCAATCAAGAAAAATGTACCATGGGCCAATCTGGCAGGACCATTTTCCCTACTGAGGTTTCCTCTTCCCAAAGGACTCTGACTTATGTCAGGTTGACATAAAACCAGCCAGCACACACACTGCTCTTACTTGAACATCTTCAGAAGCAAAACAGAAGCCCTCGGAGCTCATCGATAAGTAGATGAGAAGAGGCAGTTGTGGTAGTGCTACAATTTGTTATGATGAGCTTTTCTGCAAATCCCCTGTGCCAGGCACTCTTCATTACCACATTTAACTGGGCATATCTGTCAGCTAGGTGCAGTCATTATCGTCATGTTGATGATAAGAAAAGTTGACCAAGACTGTAAAAGCTTGTTTGTCTAAGGTCACAGGTGGTAACAATGGAAAAGATTAGTCTGCCTACAGTAGAGTGGCGTGCTGGAGAAGCAAGCTGCCTAGGTTATTTTGTAAGTTTCCTAAGGCATGGAGAAGATGTCTTATTCATAGACAGAAGGAAAATATTCAGAGTGTGAGTGTGAAACATTTTATTTTAGGCCGTTTCCTGTGTGTATATGATGAATTTTTATCATTTTCACTCCTCCAGGAAACCCAGCAGTTGCCTCTGTCACTGTTAGGTCTTCTGGCGTGTGTGACCCGCTGAGCTTAATTCAACTTGCATGTGTGAATATGGGGAGGGTATTTCCTGAAGCTTGAGCAACCCATAAGTGGCTATGCCACTGAAGAAAGTGACACCGTTACTCCCAGCAGCAGCTAACATGAGTAAGGGTTGGGGCCTCATGAGACCCTCCTCCATGATGAGACATCCACAGGCCCAATCCAGTGCAGGTCTTAATGCAACCTGCCCTGAGTTCCTGAATGCAACAGCCATGTCTTTTTTTTTTTTTTTGCAGCACTCCTCCCCATCTCCAGCTACTACATTTCTTCTGCCCCCTCTTCAGAAAAATGTTCCCAGAGCTTTAGAATGGGTTATAATGATGACCTCTTTGGGGCTGAACCGTCAATGGTACTTACTCTGCATTTTAACCAGTTATGATTCTCTACATTAGCCTATTGCAAAAAGAAGCTTCTCTGATTAAAGGTGGCACTAGTACTTGCCTGTGAATATAAAGGCAGTTGGACAAAAGTTTGCAAATGATCAGTGAGGGTCTACAGCCTCCTCATCCATGAGCTCCTGACCAGGCTTACAAGTGGTCCTTAAATCCTATCAGCAAATGGCTGCTGGTTCACATAATAGTCTCATCACAATTGTACTCGTGGGAACATCTTGCCTGGCAAGTCATTGTAACTTCCAGGCTCACAGCTGGTAAGACCTTCGGTGGCTTTTCTTCTCCAGCAGCCTGCATAGCACCTTCAGGCATGTTAATACTAGCGAGCAGGAAGAACCTTCCAGCTGGGTTCCAGCTTGATTTCTTGTGTCCTGAAACCACACTGGTTTCTTCAGCAGTACGCTCTCACTATCCAGTTCTTAGCCAACCAAGAGCAATGGGTGGCCATGGGTTTTAGACACTTGTTAAAATATTTCTTGGCCATTTGTATGTCTCATGAGTATTCTCTGTTTGAGTTGCTTTGCTTATTTTTTTTTAATTTGGGTTTTCTTGGTGTCTAGTTTTGTTTTTTTAGTTCTTTGCATATTCTGGGTATTTGCATAGCTGGCAAAGATTTTCTTTCATTCCATAGGCTGTCTCTTGAGTTAATTTTCTTTTGCTGACAGAAGCTTTTAGTTACATGTGGTGGGGTCCCTTTTGGCAGTTTCTGGCCTTATTTCCTGAACAATGAGGATCCTGTTTGGAAAGTCCTTACTTTTGCCTCCTTCCTACTCCCCCAACAATTTATATTGAGGTCCTCCCAGGCTATCTGGGTTGATTTTTGTGCAGGGTGAGAGATGAGGGTTTAGTCCTTTTCTTCCTATATGTAGATAACTGATTTGCCTAGCATTATTTGTTGAAGAAACTGTCTTGATATCCATTAGTTTTTAAACAGCTTTGTCAAATATTAGGTAGCTGTAGTTGCAGACTCAAATCTGGGTCCTGTTTCTAGTTCTTTAATCTACCTGTCTGTTCTTGTGTCGGTGCCATGCTGTCTGTATTTCTATGGCCCTGTAGTATAACTGGAAATGGAGTGTGGTTTTATTTCTAGCAGTATTCTTATTTTTTAAGATTGCCTCAGCTATCCAGGGTCTTTTGTGCTTTCGTATTAATTTTAAAATTCTTACTAAATTCTGTTTTCATAGCCTACCTTGACTTTCTTCATTCAGCTATTTATTTTCTTCTAGAATACACTTAGGAGCTTATTTACCTCATCTATCAACTCCATGAACACATTCATAATCTTTCTTTTCATTTCTTTTTTTCTAAAGTTTTGTCTGCGTTGCTCTCATTGGGAGTTATTTTGGAATTGGTATTTTTGGAGAAGTTTTTCATGTTTCTTGTATATTTGGACGGGCTTGCTCATCTTAGGGTTAGATTGTTAGTTAAGCCTTCCTCCCTCCTTCCCTCCTCCCTTCCCTCCCTCCCTCCTTTCCTTCCTTCCTCCCTCCCTCCCTCCCTCCTTTCCTTCCTTCTTTTCTTTTTCTTTTTTTTCAGGTTGCTTTTTTTTTTTTGAGTAAATGCATTTGCAGTGTTCAGGAGAGACTAGCTTGTAGCCACATTGAAGTGACGGCTTCCTCTGTTAGAGTGCTCTTCAGGGCACCAGGCCCTATCCCCAGTCTGGCCTTGTGAGTTGAATGCTATTTGCAATATCTACTGTCCATTAGGAAGCCTGATAAAAAGGGCATAGCAGTTGTTTTCAAAACAATCACTCCTTAAACACCCATTGTTTTAAGGAGTGATAGGACCTATGTACTAAAGTATCAGTTATTGTGGAGAGAGAAAAATGCACAAAGCAATCACAGTTGGACTAGAGAGAAGTAGGGACATACATAGAAGGGTAAATGGAAGAGGCAATAAAGGGGTGATGGTGGCAAAGATGTGGGAGTTTGGGTTAAAGATGTGGGGACTGAAAAAAGAGGGATAGAGATCTACATTTATATAACCGAACAGTTTCACTCTCAGGAGGCTGAGCTACGGAGACAGTAAACCAGGCTAGCCTGTGAAGGGGTAAAAGATAACGGAAAGGGTATGAAGAAAGGAAATGGGGGGAACATTACTAGCCATCAATAATACGTGTGTGTGGTGGGTAGGGGACAGACTGGCTTGTTGCACTGGCTTGTATTATGTAAGCAAGGGGTATGCAGGGGGAAAGGAGAGCTAAGTACAGATGAGTGTATTGAAGCCAGTGGCCAGCCTGAGTGTTGGCTTTCATTATCTGTTGGGGAGCCTCTGTGTTATTGCCCCTCCAAATGACTATACTCTTGATTTTCACCCATCAGTTTCTCCCCTTGGAGATTTCCAGAGCCACATGTTGTGAAATTCATTACTGGTGAGACTTGGGTCTGTTCTGAGAGCAGAGATACATCCTCAGCCTGCTGCTGCTGCCGCCGTTGTCAGTGCACTTAGTTCACTAAGCCAGACTAAAGGGGTGATATATAATAGGGCTTGTGCGTAGCAATCTGACGAGTTAAATATGGTTAGAGACCCAGGGACAATGTCATGTGGCTTTGGTTTGGAAACTTC